GACATTCTTGAAATGACTCAAACTTTTGCGAGCAGGTTGGCATGCCCATGATAGGCATCCACATCAGGTTCGAACGATTTTTGACATTGTATAAAAGTTGCAACATGTCCAGCCATTTATCGGTCTTTTTTTACTGAGAAAACTGCAAAAGAAATATCAAAAATCAAAACAACTTGACATGGTGCTTTGAATTAGTCATACAAGCCATTGAAAAATGTTGGGTTCATTTGAGGGATATCGAGAAACAACGTGTTTCAAACGAAGCCATTTGGTCTTTCAACGTGCTTTCTAAATTTTGTTCGCTCTTTTTAACAAATGTTCGTGTATTGACATTTTGAGCAATTTTGAAAGACATGAACATTTTTTCTTGAAATTTCTGTACAATTTTCTAAAATGCGAATATTTGTATTATATGAACAAAACTCAAAAAAGGCACACATATTCGGAAATTTTGAACAATTTTTTAAAAGTATGAGCATTTTTTGAATAAGAAAAAAGAAACAAAACATCAAAAATGAAACAAAAATGAAAAGGAAACAAAAGGTGAACAGAAAAAAGAAAAAGAAATATTGGGAAAACGATTGGTTCGCTATAGTAAACTGGTCGTAGACTGTGTTTTCTAGTTAGACATTGAAGCTTATCATCTCGTATGACTAGCAACGAGTGGTTAACAACGAGAGTTAGAATGTTTGATTAGTCGCACTGCCATTATTTCCTCGGTGAATTTTTCCCTGTTTCCACGCGCGACAATGTGGCAGCCTTATCAGGATGGCCTCCTGTGCTTGGTGTGTCTTTTTTATGCTACTCCCTGACGTACGGAATTTCCTATTTGCCGCATTATGCGGCAGATATTTAGGCAATCGCACACACGATCGTAGTATGAGCCGCCATCTGAGCGTTCGAGCCACCAGTATTGTGAATAAGGTTCCTGGCCGTCCCATCTGAGCGTTCGAGCCACCTGTATTGTGAATCTTCTGGAAGGTTCCTGGCTAGTTTTGGTAAACCGGTTTTTCTAAAAAAAAAATTGGATTTTTGTTTGGTTTCTATTTTTTGCGTTTTGCTGGTTCTTTTCTGATTTTCTGTTTCTTTTGGAAAAACATAAATTGCAAAAAATGTTCAACATATTCAGAAATTATTCATTTTCCAAAAAAATGTTGGAAAATTCTAAATTTGATCATATTTTGAAGAACTATTCACCTTATACAAAATTTTCAGAATTTTTAAATTTGTTCATGTTTTCCTAAAATGTTGGGACTTTCAAAGTTTTCTTCATGCTTTTAAAAATTGTCTTCAATTTTTAAAAAAATGTTTGGAATTTCAAAAAAAATTCATGTTCTCAAAAAAGTCTAGGGTTTCAACATTTGCTCGAGTGAACAATTTTTTTAAAAAGTTTCAGATCATTTATTTTTGTTCTCATTTTTTAAATGTGTTCATAATTTCAAAATGTGTTCCTGTTTTTTTCAAGATTATTCACGTTTTCAAAAAAATGTTCACATTTAAAAATAATGTTCATAAATTCTAAAAATGTTTGCATGTTAAAACATTTGTGGATTTCAAAAAATGTTTGTGTTTTAAATTTTTGTTTTGAAATTTTGAAAAATGTTTCTGTTTTCAAAAATTGTCACAAAATCTAAAATACATTGTGTACTTAATAAATGTTCACAATATTAAGTGAATGTTTGAATTTTTGTAAGTGTCTGTTGAAATTTGTTGGTTTTGTGTGTTCATAAAGGACTCGCGCTACAATTAACCACATGGAGTTGATAGGTCGAGTGGCTAGCATCATGAGTGACACCTCATGGATCAGCAGTTCAAATCATGGCAGCCTGTCGTAGCTTATTTTTGTGACCTTTACATCCGGCTCTATTTTGGTTGTTGTTAGTGGGCCGGCCCAGTAGTGGGGCCTCCCGAAACGTCTTTACCATAATACATACGAAAGTAGGTTTGTCAAATGTCCATGTTACCCTTTATATGTTTGGTAGGGGATGTACCGAAGAAGGACTCACGTACGAATCGAAGAGAATGTTTCAACAAAAGAGAACCAACCAAATGATTGGATGGTTAGAGCATCTCTAGCCAAACCCTCAAAAGTGATGAACTCAAAATATTCTCTTTTGAGGAGTTAAGTCGCACCTAGCTGAACCCTCAGCGAGTTTAACTCTTCAAAATGGTCATTGCCATAATTGTTTGCAAGGACTTTCAGCGACCAAGACTAGGATCACAGTTTGCCCGCTTGTACATCAATCGGGATAGAGCAGAAGGCCATGCCGAGCTTATGAAGGATCACTTTGCACCCAATTCAACCTATCTAGAGAAGTATTTTCGCCAGTGATTTTGGATGCACCGAAGTCTCTTCTCACCATTGCAAAAGCTGCTGAGGAGCATGATCATTGTTTACACTTAGGAGAAGTGCATCGGGAGAGATAAGTGCAAGCCCATTGATGAAGTGTGTCACGGTTGTTCGAGTGCTTGCTTATGGGTGTTCGGTCAACGCCATTGATGGCTATATATGTATAGGGGAAGATTCAATCCTGGAGGACATTCGAAGATACATATAAGCCGACATCGAGATGTATGAACAGGAGGACTTGAGGGGGCACCCAATGACAAAGACATTGAGAGACTTTTTGGTTTGAGTGAGATGGCCAGGGATGCTTGGGTCAATTGATTGCATACAATTGACATGGAAGAATTGTCCTGCGGGGTGGAAATGCCAGTACAAAAGGCAGTTGCATCAGGATTGCCTGGCTCTCATAATGACCTGAATGTGCTTTTCTAGATCACCATTGTTCGCAAGGCTTGTTGTTGGAGATGCTCGTCCTTGCAATTATGTTGTCAATGGCCATTAGTACATAATGAGCTACGACCTTGTAGATGGTATCTATCCTTCATGGTCCACATTTGTGAATAATCCAGCATCCTCAAGGCAACAAAAGATCCCACTTTGCAATGCATCAAGAGTCCACAAGAAAGGATGTTGAGAGAGTTTTGGTGTGCTTCAAAAGTGCTTTGTCGTTATTCACGGCCTGCTGAGTATTGGAAGCCATAGGTTGTATGGAAAATAATGACATGTTGCATCATCTTGCACAACACGATCATTGAGGATGAGAGAGACATGACATGTTGCACCATCTTGCACAACATGATCATTGAGGATGAGAGAGACATGCCATAGAACTTCCGATACATCTCCAATGGGGATCATGCCGAGCCGAAAGACAATGCAAATAGGATGCATAGATCTCTCGCAGTGCATCTAAGTATCAAGAGCTGAGAAGTTCATACTCATCTCCAAGATAATCTTGTTGAGCACGTGTGGGCACTTCATAACACTTGATTGATGATCCTTCTATCATGCTCTTTATTTGGATTATTACTTGGACCCTTTCGTGTGTTGGAATTTCAATAATTAAATTTGTAAATTTTTAATTGTAATGCTCGTGAACTGTGCGAACCTTAATTATCAAGTTTGGATTTAATATGTGTGCAAATATGTAGTCGAAATGGAGTATGTAAATCAAACTTAGAAAACTTGGCAAAAAAAAGTAGAGAGTTAAGTTTTAGAAGTTCGGCTACAAACCATTTGTATTTAACTCGTCTAAATCGAGGCGTTAAGGATTGATGGGTGTTGGACGGGCTAATTTTTAGGGCTTTGACGAGAAACATGGTTAGGAGGGTGGTTGTAACGCCAGTCCACCATAAAATAAACCCATACACTCATCCCTATGAACATACACGCACACCCTACCCCAATGAGCATCTCCGGGAGAGTGAACCGGCATATAAATAAAGGGAAACGTTTCACACCGGCGGACCGGCTGAAAATTACGCCGGTCACGCACGGGCGTCACGAACAAGAATCTCTAGTGGCCCCACCCACCGTCCCTCCCTCCAGCTTACCTTATCTCTTTATACGACAGCGACCAGATCCAACTCATCCAGACATCTCGCATCGCTGCCATCCCCTCCGCTTCGCAGCTCGCCTCCACCTTGTCCCGCGCGTCGCTGCCGAGATCCTCTGCCACCGGCGACGCGGTTCCGGCCGGCCATGGCCACCCCCTTCCCTGGTTTATTTTCTTTCTATCGTTTGATGGCAGTTGCTGCCCTACCACCCTTTTCCCCTTTTGATGAAGAGAAACACCATCCTTTTTCCCCTGT